TATATGTTTCTTTATATTAAAATTTTAAATAATATATTTTAGAAATTAGAATTTTTATTATATACATCTAATAACTTATTTAATATAGTAAAACATTTTTGGAAATAAAGTATATATTTATTTAAGTAAAAGAAAAATCAAAATTAACAAAATGTATTTATTTGATTGAAAAGAATTTTATTTTTAGTATATCAATATTCTTTTATTAGAAAAAAACAGACTTTCAGCTATGTCTTCCCTCTCTTTTTGCACTTTTGTTCCTTAGACTATGTGTTTCATGCTCGCATACAGAATCATGACGGAAGGCAGTGGCCGAGGGCGATATAGAGCAGTAGCGGCGGAGAATCCGCAATTATTCAATCGTGGTTCGTGGAGTCGCGCTTAACGTATTGCTCTTTCACCGTCGCTCAGACGTTTCATAGAGCGCGTAGAAGAAGTGCGCAATCATAATCTCGAAATCTCGAAATCTCAGTTTCGCGCGAGATCAGAGGAATCGAAACGACGCGCGTTTTTAATCTTATAAAGTGGTTTTAATTATTTTCATCGATCGTAATTTACCATCACCTTGCGTCTCTTGAAATGATTTGGCAAGCACGTTTGTGATACGTGATTCTTTACAAAAATTTTCTTTATCTATAAAATTTGTAAGACTGTGTGTTACAAATATGTTTGTGTTAGCCGTGAATTTCTGCAAGTATTTATGAAGAAAATTATAAATTTAATTATTTGACTTGTGCATAGATTGATTTTATGCAAATTTTTCTAATGATCTTAAAATCTTTAGAATACTAAATCTGTTCTAAATGCGGATTTAACACTTGTCATATTTCTATGAGATGTGAAAGAACTCCTACGCGACGAAAGACAATTGCGACCTATTAATCCTCTGTATCAGTTCACGATTTTTTTTATAAGTGCCTTTAATATTGAATTATTGAAAAATATCGAGTATCGAAAATATTAAAATGTTCATGGTGGCATAAAATATAAAATTGAGCAAATGTGAATACCTGACTGGGATATTTTTATTTGTTAAAATAAATTTGAGAAACAATGGATACAACAGAAAATCGTCGATCATTCGACTTGGTTGATTCAATTGTGTTCATCGGTATGCTGAGCGTTTCTGCTCTCATAGGCATCTATCAGTGGTATGCGTCCAGGAAGAAGACAGACGCTGTGGGAGAGTATCTTGTAGGCGGCCAGAAGATGTCGATATTTCCGATAAGCATGTCATTGATAGCAAGGTAAAAATTTAATCCTAACTTATTTGAACTTTGACAAGTGTGTTTCAGTTTAACTCTTAAAAGTTGTAATAGTTCAGAGATCTAACAATATGTATATTTTTCATATGTCGTGAAATACATGATGTAGTTTTATTTATTCTTAGCTTTATAATAGAAAAATATAGAACATTGATAAAGGAACTGTGAACCGGAAATATATGGGACACATTAGATATATATAGGACGTTTGTCTCAATTGACTGTCAAGGCTCTCTAGTTGTAATTATTAATAGTCATAGGTGTCCACGTGTCGAGGTATTCAAATAAGAAAATTCGTTTGAAGAGCACCCCATCTTGGTTATACGCCATTAATGTTTTATTAATAGTAACTGCTATCTACAAATTTTTGTTTCAGATTTAAGTACATATTGTGTTACAATGATAAAACTGCAAAGTTGCATTTTTAAAGAATTATTATAACGTGTATATGATTTTCATTTTATGAGATGAGATATAAATTTACTTGGAGCAAATTGTAACTTTAAATTAATTTTTATATCATGTATAATATTGAAATTAAATTTTTATATAAAAATATAAAAAATTAGAATAAAATTAGTTTTGTCGTTAAATATCTAACTTATCGTCTTGCAAATCATTATGATCCATCAATGACATAAATATAAAAGTTAGTAGTAAAAGTTTCGATAATTCATTCATTTGTCACAGATTAGTTAGGAAATTAATGCGGCTTAAATTTACGTTGTACAAATGTTGCCATCATCACAAGCTAATTTAAGGAGCATCTTAAAATTGCAGTTACGTGTCGGGCATAGCGATGTTGGGACTGGCGGCAGAAATGTACGTTTACGGCACGCAATTATGGTGCGTTGTGATTGCGGACTCTTTTGTGTCCTTTACGATGGCGGTCGTATATCTGCCGGTTTTCTATGGACTCCGAATAACATCATCTTACGAGGTAACATCGCATCATTGGGTCTATATAACAATAATCGTGAGCCTTGGTAATTCTCTACATTTTCGCAGTATCTAGAGTTGAGGTTCAATCGAGTGGTCAGGCTCATGGGATCTGTTATTTTCATTATCAAGATGGTGAGCTAAATTTATTAAATAAATAAGAGAAAAAATATTTGAATATTTTTAATTCCGAAAAATTTTATAATTTTTGCAAATTTGCCTTTTTAAAACTTGTTTCTTCGAACACATAAAAAGAATCCTTGCCAAATTCGTTTGTTAAAACAGCCAAAATTTCTTTTAGACAATATGTCTTTAATATATAACAAATCTCTATTATACTGAGAATTCATCAAAGTGTTAAACTTGGTAAGCGTCAATCCCTTGTGCAATTCAACACGTCTAATAATCCTGCGCTTGTAGCTGCTTTATATACCACTGGTGATATACGTGCCGGCGCTAGCCTTCAATCAGGCAACCGGAATGGATCTTTACACGATCGCGTTGGTGGTCTGCGCCGTATGCATTTTCTACACAACATTAGTAAGAACATCGCTCATAAATTCAAATATCCAAATCGTTTTTTATTTGAAGAGATATCTCAAACTTTTCAACTTGTATTGCTGAATATGTGATAGCTTGAGTTGGAGTTTTATTTGCGTGCTATATAAGAGAGATACAAGAGGTTGTCAAAAATCAAATATCTTTAATAAAAATTACACGGAAAAAAATGCTGTTGCTTCAATTAAAGTCTACGTCACGGGCTGCCACAAACATACATAGTTCATTCAATGATATTTTTATTGAACCAAATATCTGGATTATTAAAACAATTATCCAGATATTTGGTCCAATAAAAATATCATTGAATGAACTATGTATGTTTGTGGCAGCCCGTGACGTAGACTTTAATTGAAGCAACAGCATTTTTTTCCGTGTAATTTTTATTAAAGATATTTGATTTTTGACAACCTCTTGTATCTCTCTTATATAGCACGCAAATAAAACTCCAACTCAAGCTATCACATATTCAGCAATACAAGTTGAAAAGTTTGAGATATCTCTTCAAATAAAAAACGATTTGGATATTTGAATTTATGAGCGATGTTCTTACTAATGTTGTGTAGAAAATGCATACGGCGCAGACCACCAACGCGATCGTGTAAAGATCCATTCCGGTTGCCTGATTGAAGGCTAGCGCCGGCACGTATATCACCAGTGGTATATAAAGCAGCTACAAGCGCAGGATTATTAGACGTGTTGAATTGCACAAGGGATTGACGCTTACCAAGTTTAACACTTTGATGAATTCTCAGTATAATAGAGATTTGTTATATATTAAAGACATATTGTCTAAAAGAAATTTTGGCTGTTTTAACAAACGAATTTGGCAAGGATTCTTTTTATGTGTTCGAAGAAACAAGTTTTAAAAAGGCAAATTTGCAAAAATTATAAAATTTTTCGGAATTAAAAATATTCAAATATTTTTTCTCTTATTTATTTAATAAATTTAGCTCACCATCTTGATAATGAAAATAACAGATCCCATGAGCCTGACCACTCGATTGAACCTCAACTCTAGATACTGCGAAAATGTAGAGAATTACCAAGGCTCACGATTATTGTTATATAGACCCAATGATGCGATGTTACCTCGTAAGATGATGTTATTCGGAGTCCATAGAAAACCGGCAGATATACGACCGCCATCGTAAAGGACACAAAAGAGTCCGCAATCACAACGCACCATAATTGCGTGCCGTAAACGTACATTTCTGCCGCCAGTCCCAACATCGCTATGCCCGACACGTAACTGCAATTTTAAGATGCTCCTTAAATTAGCTTGTGATGATGGCAACATTTGTACAACGTAAATTTAAGCCGCATTAATTTCCTAACTAATCTGTGACAAATGAATGAATTATCGAAACTTTTACTACTAACTTTTATATTTATGTCATTGATGGATCATAATGATTTGCAAGACGATAAGTTGGATATTTAACGACAAAACTAATTTTATTCTAATTTTTTATATTTTTATATAAAAATTTAATTTCAATATTATACATGATATAAAAATTAATTTAAAGTTACAATTTGCTCCAAGTAAATTTATATCTCATCTCATAAAATGAAAATCATATACACGTTATAATAATTCTTTAAAAATGCAACTTTGCAGTTTTATCATTGTAACACAATATGTACTTAAATCTGAAACAAAAATTTGTAGATAGCAGTTACTATTAATAAAACATTAATGGCGTATAACCAAGATGGGGTGCTCTTCAAACGAATTTTCTTATTTGAATACCTCGACACGTGGACACCTATGACTATTAATAATTACAACTAGAGAGCCTTGACAGTCAATTGAGACAAACGTCCTATATATATCTAATGTGTCCCATATATTTCCGGTTCACAGTTCCTTTATCAATGTTCTATATTTTTCTATTATAAAGCTAAGAATAAATAAAACTACATCATGTATTTCACGACATATGAAAAATATACATATTGTTAGATCTCTGAACTATTACAACTTTTAAGAGTTAAACTGAAACACACTTGTCAAAGTTCAAATAAGTTAGGATTAAATTTTTACCTTGCTATCAATGACATGCTTATCGGAAATATCGACATCTTCTGGCCGCCTACAAGATACTCTCCCACAGCGTCTGTCTTCTTCCTGGACGCATACCACTGATAGATGCCTATGAGAGCAGAAACGCTCAGCATACCGATGAACACAATTGAATCAACCAAGTCGAATGATCGACGATTTTCTGTTGTATCCATTGTTTCTCAAATTTATTTTAACAAATAAAAATATCCCAGTCAGGTATTCACATTTGCTCAATTTTATATTTTATGTCACCATGAACATTTTAATATTTTCGATACTCGATATTTTTCAATAATTCAATATTAAAGGCACTTATAAAAAAAATCGTGAACTGATACAGAGGATTAATAGGTCGCAATTGTCTTTCGTCGCGTAGGAGTTCTTTCACATCTCATAGAAATATGACAAGTGTTAAATCCGCATTTAGAACAGATTTAGTATTCTAAAGATTTTAAGATCATTAGAAAAATTTGCATAAAATCAATCTATGCACAAGTCAAATAATTAAATTTATAATTTTCTTCATAAATACTTGCAGAAATTCACGGCTAACACAAACATATTTGTAACACACAGTCTTACAAATTTTATAGATAAAGAAAATTTTTGTAAAGAATCACGTATCACAAACGTGCTTGCCAAATCATTTCAAGAGACGCAAGGTGATGGTAAATTACGATCGATGAAAATAATTAAAACCACTTTATAAGATTAAAAACGCGCGTCGTTTCGATTCCTCTGATCTCGCGCGAAACTGAGATTTCGAGATTTCGAGATTATGATTGCGCACTTCTTCTACGCGCTCTATGAAACGTCTGAGCGACGGTGAAAGAGCAATACGTTAAGCGCGACTCCACGAACCACGATTGAATAATTGCGGATTCTCCGCCGCTACTGCTCTATATCGCCCTCGGCCACTGCCTTCCGTCATGATTCTGTATGCGAGCATGAAACACATAGTCTAAGGAACAAAAGTGCAAAAAGAGAGGGAAGACATAGCTGAAAGTCTGTTTTTTTCTAATAAAAGAATATTGATATACTAAAAATAAAATTCTTTTCAATCAAATAAATACATTTTGTTAATTTTGATTTTTCTTTTACTTAAATAAATATATACTTTATTTCCAAAAATGTTTTACTATATTAAATAAGTTATTAGATGTATATAATAAAAATTCTAATTTCTAAAATATATTATTTAAAATTTTAATATATATATTTTGTAATTATACATTATATATTTTGTAATTATATATTATATACATTTGATATAATTCTTTGTGTATTATATTTTTATTTAACAAATTTGTAAAACTTATATTAAAAGAAATTTAAAATAAAAATTTTTCCTCCTCGATAATATCACCACCTTAACGAAAGTACTTGCCGGGTGAGGAGGCTTGAGTACTCTAGTGAACCTGAAAGCTATGCCGACAATTACGTATAGCGTTTTCGAGTAAAGCAAATTTGATAGTTCTGAGACCGATTAATGACGTTATATACTCCGTCTTGGGTTAGAGATACTTGAATTATTAGATTAATCAATAAAATACTTCCAGTAAGCGTTTGATAGATCAATCAGGACAGAGGATCTTGTGCTTTAAAGTCAAAAAGGGAGATGTATTTTATATTATTAATGTATTATATATTTATATTAATCAGATTCTCTCAAAAACTATCTTTGGTCGAACATATATTCATGGCAAATTGGGTTTAATCGCTCTCAAAGCGATCAAACCTGCTTCACCTGAAAACGATAATAGTTACCAATAGGATCATTCATGCCGGACAGGTTGAAGGGGAAGGGTCAAACTAAGAGAGATACCATAATTATTTTATATGTATTATATTAATATTTTTAAATAAAATGGAAGCAAAAGGCAATCGAAAGAATAGAAAAAAGAGACTCCAAAATATTTTCCTCCCTCGGAGCTTATTGTTAAAAATATCTTGATGCGTGATACGATATACAAAAAATTGATTTCTGAGAAACAGAAGTCTATTCTACTATAATTTTCCTATAGTTTTGACCGTTAACAATAAGTATAATCAATAATATATAATATAATGTTTAAAACTACTTTAATATATATATATATATATAATTTTCGCAGCCGAAAATAACCGTAATATCATTTTTTTCGGTAGATTCAATCTAATCAGAAGATTTACTAGAATTGAATATTTATTAGAGAGATACCGTAATCTTCCAATGTAATGTTTAACGATGAAATAAATATTTTTCCATATTCGTTGCTATATTGATATCTCTTTATTTACAAAAGACGAAGTCTACTGCTCGGCAAAAATATTTTACCGTATATTAACACGAAAAATGCGACATCAGAAATATATGTAATTAAAAACGACGCATATTCACTCTTTTTCGAAAGCGACATGGTAACAATCAGTAAAATATCTGACATTCGCTCGAAAGATATAAATATATCTCGACACTAACATATTTTCAAAAAATCTACAATGTAATGTATATCGCGTCGATTTTTTAAAATCACTTATGACAAATATAAATTCTTCACATGCACGATATAGCAAACAATAATATTTTACAAATATTATAACGTTTACAAACTTTGTAAAATCGTCATGTTGACGAGTCCTAATAATTTTAATAGCCTTACTTAGTTTCGTGTCTTAGTTACTATAGTCAAGCCACAACATCTTATTTATATCTTGTGATGCAATGTAGTGGATAAATCAATGCATTAAACAAATGTATCTAAAATATCGATGCTAACAATATCTTTCGGAAAACGACATTTCTAAATACGTACGTAAAATATATGTGTAATTCCAGCGTAAGTATGTTTCATGTAATATTTTAAATTGAATAAGTTATTTATTTCCATGAGAATAAGATATTAATTGATCAAAAAATTGATAACAATTTTCAAAATATATTAAACAAGCATACACATATATGTATATATTACATAGAATATTTTAAATAAAATTTTGGCACACATTAACCTAACAAGTTCAAAATTTCTAATGCTATTAATTTGAATCACTGAAAATAATTAATATTTTACGTATGTACATAAAAGATCGTCATTTCTGGATTATATTATATTTACATTACATAATTATATTATTTTCTATATTACAAATATATTTCAACTTCCAAAAAATCCGTCAAAAAGGCACGCCGTTAATATTTTTTTTCGGTTACATTTCTCTCAGAGCATACTATCGTAAGACTAACTAACACATTCAGAATAATCCAAATACACATACTCCGCTAAAAATAAAGCAAAAAGTGTCATCGTTTTCGCGACAAAAAATATTTGATATATTAAAATTATTATTATTAAGTAATAATAACAAATATGTTTCTAATATTTTCTAAAATGGTTTAAAAGATTGAAAATATTAGAAGCAATATGTTTTTGATCGTAAAATCGGCTGTTTAATATCGGCAATATCATAGTATTCATGTACATATAATATACAAATTTTCAATTATTAAAATGGAATAAAAAGCCACACTTCTCGCATTCACTAATATAATTAATAAGATAGTTAAAATTAAATAAAATTTATTGAAATATATTGGAAGGAAAGTTGAGAAAAGCTGATGCTTATAAGATTTCAAGCCATTGTCATTTTTAACTCTTACATTTTTTAACTTTTGATTGGAAAACAAGAAGTTTCTTTATATCTTTTTACTTAAACTTATCAACGAAAAAACAGGGACTTAAAAACTATTCGCTATATTTACAATTCGACACGAGAACTTAAGGCTAGGAGCTGCCTCTGGGCAAAGTTAATATCTTCGTTTCTGGAAGACGTTGATCCACCTTCGAAAGGTGAATCAAATAGCGAAGTGAAAATTGCGTAGTGTATGAAGTTATTGCTAATTCGCTAATTGCTAAGAATGGTGAACTGATGTGTAGATGATTAAATCTAAGGTCAGTGATGTCTGCGGGACATAGAAGGAGTATTTGATATCTTCAACTAATATAAACGTAAATTTTTCAATTAATTCGATTATTGAAACAGCCATTTTTTTCAATTTCGTCTAAACTTTCTAAGTTATAAGATCAATGAATACAATCTACTTGAAATTCTGATTAGAATTAATCATTTCAATCTGCACAAGAATGACATTTGATTATTTTTTTAAAAAAGTACATCAAGAACATTATCGTACATTTAATTTGCCGTCTATATCTGATATTGTAAGAATTTTTTAATTAAAATTGAAATTTGTTTGAAAAATTATTAATCACAAAAACATTTTTTTTTTTTTTTTTTTTTTTTTGAAATAAAAGGGAGCATCTTTTTTTTTTTTTTT